TAGATCAGTTTTCAAATAGGCATATATAAGGTGATTCATAAGTTTCGAAACTTCACATTGCATACCAATTTCGTCAAAAGTATTCACACATGTACACTACGAAAAAAAAAATATGAGACAGTTCTATATCTCCCGTTCTACTGGGCTGATTGACAAAATTTTTCATGTATCGAAAGCGCAAATTAGGATATATATTAGATTTATATAAAGCATTGTTCTAATATAGGTATTTTGGCATAAAAGCAGACTTTTTCTGAAACGACATACTATTTCTTTCTCCATATTTCGATTCTACGACTCATATTATGCCTAAGTATTAAATTTTGTAAAATATGGTGCGAAATTTACGGAGGAACTCAAGAATTCATCTTCGCGCATTTTTATCAATTTGCGCCAAAAATAATTTACTTGGCGAACTTCCTAATTTATAGCAACTTATTTTCCTTTTACTTTTAAAACTGTAGACGAACAGGAAAAACGTCATCATTCATTCTTTCAAATAATTTTAAGAAAGTGAAGAAACACATTTGGCATTATTGTCCCGTATAACAAAAATCCCAAATTTCAAAACGTGCCAATCTGTAAATTCAGGTATACCTTCGAAAATTTTGAATGAAACCTCTAAATTGTTGCAGGTATGCCTATAAATACATCTATTTTAATATGATGTTAAAAATTTTATAGGTTATAGTAATTTTTTTTCGAAAAATTTATAAAACATATTTAGAAATACAAATTTAAAAAATAAATTATAACAAATTTGCGAATTATATTTGGATTAAGCCTAAATTTCGAATTCTCGAAGAAGGAATCACGTACGTTTTATATGAAAAAAGATATATTAATAAATATATATCAAATTCAATTAACATTGGGGAGCTAAAATTTTGAGAGCTAATATTTTAACAACTACTCGTATAATTTTTACAAAACTTGGAAGTTGGGCATAATTTGAGTCGTAGAATCGAGATATAGAAAAACTCGGCATGTCATTTCAGAAAAGGTCCGATTTTATCTCAAAATACCTATATTAAAACAATATAAATATTTTGAGATAAAGATTTATTTGCTATGTATAAATCCAATACATATCCTAAATCACGCTTTCGAGACATGCAAAACTAAAGTTGAATTTCGTCAATCAGCCCAGTAGAACGGAAGATATAGAACTGTAATAAAGAATCTACAAGCCTTGTTTACATTCTATGGAGCCTCCGAGCCTTATATACAGGATGATTTTTAATTACTTTTACAGATTAAGAAAGGTGATAGTACTCATCAGTACTCATCCAGATGAGCAATAATTACCATAGAACATAGGATGACATTCCACTCTAAGAGCCAGAAAAGAAGAATATTAGAATTTCAATCTGAACTCACAACAGCGTTGGGGGAGCGAATGGACGAGACCGAATGTTGCACAATCAGTTTAGTGACAAACTCACAGAGAGTGCACAAAACGGATAAAACCGAAAACTTGGCGTTCGAGTTTTAATTCGAACTCAGAATTTGATGTCAAACACTCACATGCAGTTCTTTGGTTGGCAAGGTCTCAATCTCGCAAACGATTGCAACAAGTTAATAATTGCAGCAACAATCGCCACGTGTTTAAAATAATAGTGTAAAAGTTATTCATCGGGTTGTAAGTTTGCAGTTTTGCTACTCTTTTTAAAAAATATCGTCAAATTATCAAAACTAAGTCGAAAAGTATTACCAACATATTAGGGAAAAAAACAATTGAAAACAGAATTTCAGATACAGTGCTGATTAAAAATAGAAAATAAATTATTAACAATACATAATATATAAAACATTGCACATAATATACAATAGGTTATTGTTTTTCTCAATTAGACTTCAGTTGAACAATTGAAACTTCAATGTACAATGCGAAACAACTGAAACTTCAATGCACACATCAACTTAATGAAAATAAAAAATCTGATGTGTACACCACATGACTTCCTTGTACGGAATATTAAATTATACGCATTTTTTCTTGCATTTCATTTTCAAACTTATTAGATTGAATTAAACCTACTTCGCCGACAGCGCATAAACCACAATAGAATAAATGCATTCTTTAAAATTCACTTTGTTTACCATAACGACACTCTGGCGCTAGGTTTACTTAACAGTATTATATTTCGTTCATATTATAATTCAGACTGCACAAAATTTATATCATTTAAAGAATTATCTAATCGTTGCCACATGTTCTATTCAAATACAATAATAAAGCTAGAACTATGTATAAAAGAAATTAAGCAAACAAAACAAAAAAGAAACAGTTTTTTACAGACGATTGAGTATTTCTCATTCAAATAATTCAGTTTTCACTTCGCGACAAGGCAAAAATACATAAAAACTCAAAATATCTGTATTAAAAATTACGAAGTAAATCTTAAACGCTTATTTCCTCGAAAAAATTCCAGAAAGGATTAAGCATGATTTAAATAATAAATGAAGGCGTAATCTTTGCTGTTGCGAAGCTAAGTTTCTCTAGTTTGGCAAGAAATCCGCTATCCTGCTGTTTCAAATGTAAACAAGAGCAATGGCCGCAATCAAATTAGGCTTAGCGGCACTTAAACAATTTTAAAATTGTTGATAATTCTAAAAATATTGCATACAGATTTACTAAAGGCATAAAAACCTTAACTGGAAGATAAGAACAACATAATTCAATCATTTTTAAAGCAACAAATGTACAATTTACAAACATATAACAGTAAAGAAACTGAGATCACTGAGCCGGGTATAAATATACGAGTATTTATATACGTTTGATGCGGCCGATTGCAACTAAAATACGAGGTGCACATCTACATGTTATAGCAGTCCTATATACAAAATTTCAACGTTCTGAGGCTACTCGTTTTTGAGTTATGCGAGATACGTACGTACGTACATACGTTCGTACAGACGCCATGAAAAATTCTCTTCAGAATTCATTTTAAAGCAGTTTTATAATTTTTTTGGAGAAAAAGAGTGTTTTTTTCTCTCTTTACATACAGATATCACAGAAATACATCGTTAAATTGCATTTGAAAGAGGTCAAAATGGATTATTTTCGTTGAAAAATGCTGCCTGAAACTTTTCGCGATTACAATACTTCCTTTTTACTTCGTACAAGGAAGTAAAAATCTGATGTGTACACCACGTGACTTCCTTGCACGGAATATTAAATCATACGCATTTTTTCTTGCATTTCATTTAAACTTATTGGACTGAATTAAATCTACTTCTTCGATAGCACATAAACTACAATAGAATAAATGCACTCTTTAAAATTCACTATACTTGTTTACCATAGTAACACTCTGGCGCTAAGTTCACTTAATAGCGTTATATTTCGTTTATATTATAATTCAGAATGCATATAAATTTGCATCATTTGAAGAATTATCTAATCGTTGCCACATGTTCTATTAAAATACTATAATAAATCTAAAACGATGTATAAAAGAAATTAAGCAAACAAAACAAAAAAGGAACAGTTATTCACAGACGATTCAGTATTTCTCATTCAATTAATTCAGCTTCGCGACAAGGCAAAAATATATAAAAACTCAAAATATCTATATTAAAAAATTACCAAGTAAATCTTAAACTTTTATTTCCTCCAATAAATTGCAAAATGAATTAAACATGATTTAATTCGTAATAATAAAATAAAGCGTTATCTTTGTTGTTCCAAAGCTTAGTTTCTCTAGCTTGGCAACAAATCCGCTATTTTGTCAAGTTTGAAATATAAACAAGCAAGTCCGCTATCGCAAAATTAATTACGCTTAGCTGCACTTAAACAACTTTTAAATTGTTGATAACTCCACAAATATTGCATGCAGATTTACCAGAGGCATAAAAACCTTAACCGGAAGATAAGAATAACATAATTCAATCATTTTTAAAGGGGAAAATGCACAATTTACAAACATATAAAAATTAAGAAAATGAGATTACTGAGTCGAGTAACATAGGTAACATAGTGGATATATATGTAATGATATTTTTAAATCAATTGATTAAATTAAATTCTAATAATATTGCTTAATAATGTGTTGGCGATTCTCTACCTAAATTGCATCCCTGTTCCTAAATTTTGGCGAAATCCTTTCTTTAGTATAAAATATATTAACTTGTTGGCGCCCGCCAAATCGCCAAACTCATAAATCTGTCATATTACATAAAGTCCTTTAGAACACTCCTGATGAGAAGATAGCGTCACCTCGTGATTTCAATTAATATCGCTGATTGCATGAGCCTCATGACGCACACATATGTATAAATAAGGCTTCTGCTCAAGGTACGATAAGAAACGCTTGTGAGATGGATGCTAAAAATAAACCTACCACTTTATATTCCAAAATTTGTCTCATTCCTGTTGCCCCGGCTGCATAAAACAAATAATGTATGAGAAATTACATTTCATATATATATATAAACTTTTTGTTGCGGTCGATTGCAACCAAAATACAAGGTGCACATCTACATGTTATAGCAGTCCTATATACAAAATTTCAACGTTCTGAGGTTACTCGTTTTTGAGTTATACGAGATACGTACGTTTAGACGCCCCTAAAAATTCTCTTTATAATTCATTTTAAATCAGTTTTATAATTTTTTTGGTGTAAAAGAGTCTTTTATTCTGTCCTTACGCACTGATGTCACGCAAAGGCATCGTTAAATTGCATTCGATAGCGGTCAAAATGGATATTTTCTTTGAAATATGATGCCCGAAAATTTTCGCGATTACAGTGCTTCCTTTTTTACTTTTTACAAGGAAGTAAAAAGGGATTCTGTTTTCACCACTTATAACTAAGCCGCTTTAAAAATAACAAACAGTAATCGGAAACACAAAACAAGTAAACAAGAGACAAATGTCTCGCAATTCCATTAAATCCAATTTCCGAAAAAATTACCGAAAAAAACCGACAAAAAATTTCCAAATTTAAAATGCACTTGATGCTTCACTTTCGGAAATAGTAATAAATGAGACTTACGTTCAGTCCATTCCTTTGGTTCCAAGTGGTAGAAAAAACTCTTAATTCAAATTTTCATTTTATTCTGCAAAAAGTACCAACATTAGAGATACTAATTAGTCATTATAATGTTCTTCGAGCCAAAGAATTCTTTGCTTTATTTTGAGCAGTTAAGGTTATAAATTTTAAATCATTCATTCAACATTTCAATTGTTTGGTAAATAATAACAATGCTCTTTCGAGTATTAATTCGCTGTATTAAACGGTAACAATAACACACAACACACAGAAAAGTACATTTAAATAAGTATAATTCTCATGTAATAACATTATAAACCTAGTATTTCAACTCATAAAATATAACTTAAAGTTCTTTCAAATATGAAGCTATATATTTCAAGCAATAACCATATAAAACATTCCATGTTGAATAAGTTAAAGCATAACTGTCACCTAATTATAGAAGGAAGCGTAGCTAATTATTACGTCATAAAAAGGCGTGTCCGAGTTTGAAACAAGTACACAACGTCTTGATTTGTCCCTAGGATTTAGCCTATTTATTATTCAAATGTATTGTTTTTAAAAAGGTAGCATAGGGTATGTATAGAACAGAGGGTTAGTACAAGTTGTGTCTGTGCGGCCCCACTTTAAAAGAGTAACTATGTAAGGATTATGTTAATTTTATTAACAGTTAAATTTTAAGTTAAAGTTCCTTTCCTGTCAAATTCTTAACTTCAACTTACTACTTCCGGCCAGAACGTAGTTTTGGAATTTGCTGAATATTTAATGAGAAGGAGCGGTATTTAAACCACGAAGTTACTTACCGAGACAGAGAGAGAAACAGAGTTTCTGAATTACGAGCGTCTGCCTTTTTGGCCGCTCTCTCTCTCAAAGCTGTTATATGCTCGGCCGTACTCAGGCCCTTGCTAAGCTTCGTAGTAAAATAGGTTAAGGGGCCAACTCTCATTGTGCCTTGATAGCTTTGGCTATACAGTAAGACCCCGCTTAACGCGGGGGATACGTTCCATCAAAGTAGAGCGTAATGCGAAACAGCGCTAAACGAGGCTATCTTTACATGTAAATATTGGGGTTAGGGGAAGATGGCTAGGAAATTGGTTAGGTATTAAATTTAAAAAGTATTTTTTTTTTTAATAAAAATAAAACCAAACATTTATTTCTTAAAGCCCAAATTAATACCACATTATTATTTCTTGCAAAAATAAAAACAAAATATAAATAACAAAACGAATATTTTTTAAAAAAACAAATAAAATTCTCAGTCATATTTAGTTAGCCTTCCGCGTTTTCAGTGTTCTGCCTTTTTGTGACAAAAGCATCTAATGTTGTTTGCCTTTTTCTTTTGCGTTGTTCTCTTAAAAGTTCTTCATAAACGGATAGAGCATCTCTAACACGCCTTACTTTTGAGCTCCTGTCAAAATTCGGAACATTTTCAATGAATTCATCCATTATTTCAGTTATGGTAGACAAACTCCTTGTGTAATACTATGTGGTGCACAAGGATTTAAAATTTTCAATTAAAATAAATAAATAAATAAATAAATAAATAAAAAATTTAAAAAAACCTCCTTTTTACAAACGGCATCGAAAGTTCTTTTTGCTCTTCTTCTGAATCACTGCTGTCAACATTTTTGTTTTCTTCTTGTTCAGTTAATTCCTTGAGCTCATCATTAGAAAGACTAGCCGCTGCTTCTTGAATTATTTCTTCGACATCTTCCACATTTACCCCTTCAAAACATGTCTGTACAATACCGCACCAAACAAGAAATACAAGTACACTCTTTCGGATATGTATTTGAAACCTATCGCTGCATAATATTTCGGGGAATCCCCGTATGCTGCGAGCGATTTCGTGGAATCCCCGGGTTGAAATAAAAGAGCGCTAAACCGAAACAGCATTAAGCGGAGTCTTACTGTACTTAGTTAGTTAATCTTAATTTTAGTTTAATTCTTAGTCTTTTAAGTTCAAGTCCAAAGTGCGGACTTTATTTGTTCACTCCCAGGCGGAGTTTTGTGAAATCTTATCGAAATAATAAAGGGTTATTTACCCTTCTCTCTTGTTGTTTCCTGTCTTCGAACTCTAGCGATTATTCGTTGAGGAACCTTACAACTATTAGGGAGGGGGCGGAGAGCGAATGAGAATGTTGGTGCAGAGAGAAAGATAGTGAAACAAAAGGGAGTTAATAAAGTAGAATATGTTAAGTTTTTATGTCATGAGGGGTTTTCATTTTAATAAATAAAAAAAAAAAGAGAATATGATGGGAGAGCTAACTCGCAACTCATTGTGAATGATGAACATACAGTCAGTGAAAAAGTATTCATGACTTTTTATATTTGAAAAAATAATTTAGAATTTTAAAGAATTTTTTATTTAAATATTATGATTCATTTTAAATGAATGAAATTTTCACTTAACCCAATAAACACAGACATATAATAAAACAATAAATTAATTTTGCACATAATAAGTCAATGGGGAAAATATCTATTTATATAATATGCAAATATTAAAACAAAGAAATGCATTAGAATACTTAGGGCTATATCCATTTGCATTAATAAAGTTTTGAAAACGTTTAAGCATTGAATTTACCAAATTCAAATATACTTCTTTTTTAATTTCGTTCTGTTTTTATACTAACCCTTTGTTGCATACAAATAAATCTAGATAAGTTAAACAAAAATGTTTGTATTTTTCCTACTTAAAACAACCTTACTAGTAATAAAAAAATTAATTTTATTCAAATTTCGTTTTAAATAATTGCTACAGATTGTTCACTACAGTGGACAGCATGCATATACGTACATGCATACAAATGTCTTCCCAACGACTTACGGTCATTGCATTTGAAATCCTTTCCTGCCTTGTTTGCAGTGATCATTACCATCTTCTAAATGGTTAAATCTGCAACTGACATGTACATACAGATCCCCCAAAATACCTTCATTTCGTCGATTGTGATTGAATTCATTTTGCTGCGATTTTGTAACCTGTACCTGTTGGATTCAAATGTTCTAGAAATTCCTTGCCAAACATAAGCATTTCCAGTGGTGCTTTGGCTTGATAAGCAGTACATTTGGGTTTCAATTCACTCTTTTCGGTAGATCTTTATCTACCCACTCCACAATTTTCTCAAACTGACATTTAAAATAAAATGTCTAAAATGACTAATTATGAATAAAAAATGGCAGTATAAGAGAATGTAAGCAATATTATATAATGTTTACTGTGAGAAATTGTACTAACTTGGAAACAGAAGTAGCAGCCATTTTTCAAATAGCAATGCTTTAATAGCTTAGTGATGCTATGCAGCCATCTATGATCGACAGTTGAAAGTTCTAATAATATAGAATGAATAAACATAGGAGTGGAATTTATGATGCAACAAAGGGCTAAATGATGCTTTTGACACTGAATAATTTAAAGTTTCTTTTTCGTTTTATCACACCAGCGGCCGAGCGGTAAAGTCGCTGAACACTGTATGCGATTCGATCCGAGAAGGGCTGGCTGCATGGGGTTTTGTGGTTTTCCCCTGTAACGTGTATACGAGCCAGTTTCCCTTAGAAAGTCCTCACGAAATCCCTCCTTTAGGCAGATCAGTTGCTTTGTAATTATATCTAAATATGCTCGATTGGATAAAGTTTGGGGATCGAACTGGAGTTTAAAATTATATAGTGTATTGTACAGCAGTAACTCCTTCACAGTTCGAACTTTGTGTTAGGGATCGTTATCTTGGCTGAAAGTAAAATTTCAGAGACTTTTGTCAAATATCAGTTACTTTAGAAAGCACTTCTTTTCTGTTAGCATCCCGAAGTTCTGGCGCAATCGGAGAAGGATTTAATTTTCTTCAAAATGAATGAGACCCACCAGCGGCAGAACGGTAAAGTCGCTGAACACTAATAGTTTGGTACGAGAATCGAAACCCTCCGAAAGGGCTGGCTACATCGGCGTTTTCGTAATTTTCCCCACGTGTAACGTGTATACCAACCAGTTTCCCTTAGAAAGTCTTCCACGAAGGCAGTCTGCCTTTCTTTAGGCAGATTGCCCTCGGGTATTTTTCGATAATCAAATAAACCAAAACCAATCATTAATTTTTGTTGTTCAGTTCGATGGTTTCCCACAATGATTCTTATTTTCTTTGCAGTTCCATTTGCTTTCAAACGTCTCTGCAAAATACCACCGCCTATTTCCCCTTGGTATTTGCCCTTTTTGAGCAATTTGTTTAATGATATTTTTGATATTAACTGGCATTTCACTTGTTTTTATGCTTATTTCATAAAAAAGATAAATATTAACAAACCACCAACAGAATTAAGCTGAGAATTGTATAATTAGCTTTTTTATTGTAACAAAAAAATTTGCATGCGAGATTATTGAAACTTCTTATTGTATGATTATTTCCCCTTTACCATATGAAGTATTTTTGATATTTTAACACATATTGCAAAATTAATTTTTATATTTATACAAAATATCTTTATTTTTAAGCATATGAATTTTCAAGTTATTTTGAAACACATATTCTAAGCAAGCTATTTACTAATCAGCATTATGTCAACCAAGCTTAAAAATTTACTCAATGGTGTATGGATCCCTTTCCCCCCCTCACTGCATGATATGAATTTTTATCTGCATTTATTTTCTGTTAATCGAAGTGATTTTATTGTAATAATTGTTTCTTGAAGATTTCTCTTGTGTCTCATGTTTATTTACTAGTTTTGATTTAATGATTGATTATTACCCTTTAAAGGCTATTTTAGTTATTGAAACCCGATTTTTTTTGCGATTTACTAGTTATTTTATTTCGTTGGTATTCATGTGATGCTTTATATGTCAATTGTATTTTTCTTGTGAATAAAAACGTTGTTGATATCCTTACCTATGCGTAAGACTACTGAAGTCCATTCGCTTTTCACGGAAACAATATTTTATTTAAATTTCCTCTTTAGCATTTTGTCATAATAAACTGGCATTTTTCATTTAATCGTCTGCTACTCTTTTGTTTTGACTGGAATACAGAATAAGGGATTTATTTTGGTAATGGCTTCTAATATTGATCGATGGCT